AAAGGACGGCTCCAGAGAGCGGGTCGATCTCGACAGGGGCGCAAAGCGCGACGATTGGCAACGAAGGCACATCGGCCAACGCCGCAATTCACGTGCGAGGGACAAAATGAACCTCATTAGCCGACCCGGGAACGGAAGACGGCAGCAAACTGGAAAAACCGGCGGATAGTCGCACTGTGGCGCCAGCCCCCACAGACCAAGCCTGCGAGAAGGCGGGAACACTGTGCGGGCAGCACAGAGCCCAAGGAAAGGCACCGCCAAACGCGGCGAGGAAGAGCAGAAGGGGGGACAGGCGCAGGAGGCGACGAGGGGAGGGGGGAGGAAGGAAGCCTCACTCACAGAGCACCTAAAGTGCTCGAAGACAGGTGCGTCGAACCATGACAGGCGTCGGCAGCCTTGTCGTGAGAGTCCCAGCTTGCAACTTCCTTGCCACTGTGCATGGGGGGAACGCTGCGTGGTACCACGGCTGAACCACCCGGCGGGAGGCCTGCGGACCTGCCCGTGGGAGAACCGCTGGGCTGTCGTGAACCACGTGCGCCGTGCACCATGGAAAAGGTCGTTGGCGTAGTTGGCGCACGCGAGCAGCAAGTCCGTCCAGAGGAAGGGGGCGATGTCACAAGCGAAGCCGGGGGCCGGAGGGTCGGGCCTGCCATGTGAGGGCTCAGTCCTGTCAAAGGATGGACCACTTGTACAGGAATCCAGCCTCCCCAGGCCCGCCCGCCGGAGCCAGCGGGTGATCGCATCCCGCCGCTGGGATAGGTGTGACCACCACGGAACATGCACGTGAACGTAGCCACGATGGGGGGAAGCCGAGTGGCGTGGTACACCACATCACTGTGCGTGGAGGAGGGGGGGGAGGCGCAGCCGATAGCTGCAAATCAAGTGAAATTAGCCTGGCGAAGGACCCAACCGTGTGCAGTTGTGAATGCCGCAATTGTGCTGGGTGGTGGCGGACGCATGCGGGCGGTGCCACTGGGACCTTCGGTGGAGCTCCTTATGGGGCCACGAAACGCTGTACTGGGTGGGTGGGACGCGGTCAGCAAGGGCTGTGCTGCGTGGTGGCGGACGCATGCGAGCAGTGCCACTGGACCTTTGGTGGAGCTCCCTATGGGGCCACGAAGCGCTGTACTGGGTGGGTGAAACGCAGGCAGGGAGCAAGGGCTGCGCAGGGTGGTGGCGGACGCATGCGGGCGGTGCCGCTGGGACCTTTGGTGGAGCTCCCTATAGGGCTACGAAACGCTGTTCTGGGTGGGTGAAGCGCAAGGAACAAGGGCTGTGCTGGGTGGTGGCGGACGCAAGCGGGCTGTGCCACTGGGACCTTTGTGGAGCCCCCCCTATGGGGCCACGAAACGTGCGAGGGGTGTGCCAGAATGGAGGGTGGAACCGCATGCCAGCGCAGCCACTCGGTGGAGCTCCCTATGGAGCCACGAAACGTGTGAGGGGTGTGCCGAAATGGGGGGTGGAATCGCATGCGAGCGCAGCCACTGCGGCGTTCGGTGGAGCTCCCTATGGGGCCACGAGACGTGTGAAGGGCGTGCCGAAAAAAGGGGGTGGAACCGCATGCGAGCGCAGCCACTGGGGCCTTCGGTGGGGCTCTCTATGGGGCCACGAACCGTGTGAGGGGTGTGCCGAAATGAAGGGGGGGAACCACATGCGAGCGCAGACACTGGGGCGTTCAGTGGAACTCCCCATGGAGCCACCCACGAAGCGTGTGAGGGGTGTGCCAAAATGGGGGGTGGAACCGCATGCTAGCGCAGCCACTGGAGCGTTCGGTGGAACTCCCTATGGGGCCACGAAACGTGTGAGGGGTGTGCCAGAATGGGGGGTGGAACCGCATGCGGGCGCAGCCACTGGGGCCTTCGGTGGAGCTCCCTATGGGGCCACGAAACGTGTGAGGGGTGTGCCAGAATGGGGGGTGGAACCGCATGCGGGCGCAGCCACTGGGGCCTTCGGTGGAGCTCCCTATGGGGCCACGAAACGTGTGAGGGGTGTGCCAGAATGGGGGGTGGAACCGCATGCGGGCGCAGCCACTGGGGCCTTCGGTGGAGCTCCCTATGGGGCCACGAAACGTGTGAGGGGTGTGCCAGAATGGGGGGTGGAACCGCATGCGGGCGCAGCCACTGGGGCCTTCGGTGGAGCTCCCTATGGGGCCACGAAACGTGTGAGGGGTGTGCCAGAATGGGGGGTGGAACCGCATGCGGGCGCAGCCACTGGGGCCTTCGGTGGAGCTCCCTATGGGGCCACGAAACGTGTGAGGGGTGTGCCAGAATGGGGGGTGGAACCGCATGCGGGCGCAGCCACTGGGGCCTTCGGTGGAGCTCCCTATGGGGCCACGAAACGTGTGAGGGGTGTGCCAGAATGGGGGGTGGAACCGCATGCGGGCGCAGCCACTGGGGCCTTCGGTGGAGCTCCCTATGGGGCCACGAAACGTGTGAGGGGTGTGCCAAATGGGGAACCGCATGCGGGCGCAGCCACTGGGGCCCGGTGGAGCTCCCTATGGGGCCACGAAACGTGTGAGGGGTGTGCCAGAATGGGGGGTGGAACCGCATGCGGGCGCAGCCACTGGGGCCTTCGGTGGAGCTCCCTATGGGGCCACGAAACGTGTGAGGGGTGTGCCAGAATGGGGGGTTCGGTGGAATGGGGCCCTGGAACCGCATGCGGGCGCAGCCACTGGGGCCTTCGGTGGAGCTCCCTATGGGGCCACGAAACGTGTGAGGGGTGTGCCAGAATGGGGGGTGGAACCGCATGCGGGCGCAGCCACTAGGGCCTTCGGTGGAGCTCCCTATGGGGCCACGAAGCGTGTGAGGGGTGTGCCAGAATGGGTGTGGGAGGGGGATGAGGGGGGAGGAAGGGGAGGAGGAAGGAGGAGGAGGAACGCGGGGCGACGTCTCTTCAAAACGAGGACCCAACACCACAGGATGGTTGGGAAAAAGGAGAAGGGGAGAGGGGCGGAGGGGAGAGTGGCGATGCCAGTGGGCCTTGCGGGTACAGTGGTTTCTGTGATCCCTCCACACGTGCTGCGGGGACCCTCGGCGACCGCGGGGGGAACAAGGCGACAGACCGGTGTGCGGGACTGCTGTCGCTTGACCAGAGCAGCCTTGCCTGGGGGAAGCATGGTGGCCCGACACCTGGCAAGGAGAAACCTGGACACGTGGATGCCTGAGTGCTCCGGCGGAGTCACAATGGGGGGAAACCGTGTGGCGTAGTGCGCCGCCTCAGTACGAGAGGAGGAGGAGGAGGAGGAGGAGGAGGAGGAGCAGGAGGAGGAGGAGGAGGAGGAGGAGGAGGAGGAGGAGGAGGAGAGGCGCAAGCAGGGTGATGCCAATGGAGACACAGAGAGTGCAGTGGCCTATGTGATCCCTGCACCGTGTGCTGCGGAGGGTCCTCTGCGACCGCGGGGGGAACGGAGCGCAAGACCCCTGTGGGGGACAGCGCTGTCACTTGCCCATAGCAGCACCGACCGGGGGAAGCACGTGAGGTGTGACCACGTGCGTGGACTGTGGCCTCTGTGATCCCTCCACCGTGCGCTGCGGAGGGTCCTCTGCGACCGCGGGGGGAACAGACCGCGGACCACTGTGGGGGAATGCGCTGTCACTTGGGGCCACCTCTGTGACCCCTCCACCGCTCCCTGCGGAGGGTCCTCAGTGACCGCGACCCCGTCGGCCGCGGGCCCCGTCGTCCCCGTCGTCGGCGCCGTCAGCGTCGCGGTCGAAGCCGGGCCAGGCGACGCAGTCGGCCCCGACGTCGGCCCTGGGGACGCAGTCGGAGTCGGAGGAGGCGTCGCTCAGTCGCAGAACCACACCTGCCACGCTGCCCGTGTGTGCTGGTGGGGATTCGCGAAGCGTCAACAGTGTTGATATCTGCACACCCGGCCGAGGCAGGCCATCGTGAGAATGACCCCTCAAGTTGGCGGCTTCCCATTCTGGCGCTTGAAGGCGCAACCTGGTGTTGCTCTTCACCGTGTGGACCAATGTTCGGTCGGGCAGTCTGCTGAGAAACCAACGGGGCTGTTGGTTGTGCACGTATCATCGAAGAGTCGAGTCCTCAGGGAGCTGCCAAATATGGGGAGGTGTGCACACCGCGTCCACGCTAGTGTCCTGGATGGGGAGTACTGACAACGGGGAGTGGCGCATTTCCAGGGCCAAGACCTATCCATTGGAGTTTTGCCGCTTTTGGGCAGAGTGTTTGTTTGAAGAAGCTGTCAGGCAGTTAGCAGGTCCATGTGCGCCACGCCAGGAGCTGCCCGAGGATGTCGCCCCTAGACCCATCTTTCCCATTTCAGTGCGGGGGGGATTTTGCGCGTGAGGCACCCTCTTAACCCTGCCCACGGATAGTGCGCGCTGCACATCAGACTCTCGCAATACCGTTTCGGGAAGGGTCCGTGGGTACCCCTACTTATACCCCTCAAGGGTGCGTGCAGCATCACAACTATTGCCGTAACTTGTAAATGTTCTCCTTTATACTGTCGTGAACGCGGCATTTTAACCCGCAATGGTACAAGGAAGGGAGCCCCCGGCTTTTCGTGAATGTTTCACATTTGAAGAACTTGCGTGAAGGTGACAGTTCAGCACAGCTCAGTCTGGTTGACCACGTCCCCCTCCCCACCTTAAGGCAGTCGTTCAATTCGGGTCCCAGCGTTGGCGCTCCTATGAGAGACGACAGCCGACGATGTCTTACCTCAGCCTGACGGTGGTGCGGTTCTACTCCGACCGAGCCCTCAGAGGAATGGGCCTCTGTAAATTACCCAAATAACTTAGTGGAGGGTTTGGGCCTTGTTGAGGGTGGGGGGATTATCATGGTGTTGCACGTGGAGGACGCGCCGCTGCCGCGATCGCTGCTTCTCTTGTTGTTACCTTTTCCTGTCGCTGCTCTCTGCTCTACATGTGTGGGACCCAGACTCTGTCCCTAAGGCCACGAACAAACGAATGACGACGACGACGACGACCACGATGACGGCGAGCGCAGCGGCTGCGGCTGCGACCCTGGGCGGCGGTGGGCGCCCTCAGGAGGGCCGCGGGCTGGCGCGCGGCGCGCCACAGGGGCATTCTCTCCAGAGGGGTCGGCCTGCAGTCTCGCCGCCGCGGAGGCGCCCTCCTCCTCCTCCTCCTCCTCCTCCTCCTCCTCCTCCTCTTCCTTCTCTTCCTCCTCCTCCCCTCCCTCCCCCCTCCCACCTCTCTCCCCCTCCCTGAAGCCGCTGTCCCGGTTCGAGGCGCCTGGGACAACTGCCAGGCGCGCCGCACCCGCTGGGCGCCTCCCCGCAAGCGCAAGCGGCCACGCGCCACCAGATGCTTCTCGCCGGCGCTGCAGCCGACCGAGACCGACGCTTCGTCCTGCCGCGCGAAGACCCAGCTATGTGGCCCGAATCGGACGCCGGCCTCGTATGAGCGACGTGGCCGCCCTCGCTCGTTTTGGTTCAGATCGTTCTGATCGCGAGCCCAGCCCTCCTGCAGGTTCTGGGTCCCTTCAGCCAGCCCCTGCGGATCCTGGTCTGCTCCCTCGTCCTGGACCCGAGACTGTTCGTGGAGCCGCCGTGCCTGACCGCGATGGTGCTCATTGCCCTCCTGCTGGTGCTGCTGTTCGTTGTCCCGCGCGGCCGCCAGGCGCTGCGCCGTCGGGTGCCCCTCCTGCGGGCTCCACTGCCAGAGCCAGCTCGAGGCCGATGGCGCCTGTGCAACCGCCAGTCCATTGCGCTCCTGGGCCGGAGGCCGTGGGCCCTGCAGGCGTAATCATACCGGCTCCTACCTAGACGCCCACGCTGGCGCCGGCCGCGGCCCGCGAAGCGCGTGATGCAGACGCAGTTCGACAGTTGCCTGTCCACGTCCCTTCAGCAGAAGGTCGAGGTTGATGTCGCCGCAGATCGCACGCGGTGGACTGCAATGGACGAGGATTCGTGTTCGCCGACACCAGTCTGAGACGGCCGAGTCGATGCGCGAGTTGGCGTCTCGCCTCGACCTTGCTGTCGCAGAGGCTATTTGTCACATGTGCGTGCGCTGGTGGGTCCCGGCATGACCAATACATGTGCCTGCTCCTCCACCTTCTCAGGCACTAAGTACCGACGAAATGCTTGTCAATGCGCGATTGGCCGAGCTTGGCCGATAGCTGACCAGGAGGAGGTTTAAGATTCGGGGATGGAGCCTGGTGGGTGGATGAGAAACGAATTCCTGCCTGTTCTGCGTCCCAGTCAGAAATGCTTAATTACCTTCCTCCCTCCTCCCTCCCGCTGATTTCCTCCCTCCCTCCTCTCTGCTTGTGATTTTCGAGCGTAAGCCCAGAGGGACCATGAAGTGGCAAGACACAAGCCTGTCGCACGTTGTCGCAAGTTGCAGGTGTCATTTTCATTGATCGCGTTCGTTATCAGCTGGTTGTCTTCACAGTTATTGTGATTGCGATTGCAGCCTCGCTCCCTTGCCGCATAGAGGCCACTTTTCGGCCACATCGCGCGGACCAGCGGATCGGAGACAATAGGTCCGTGTCCCAACCTCGTCCCTCCCTCTCGTTGCTGCTCATTGTTCTTCCCTCCCTCCTCCCCTCCTCCCTCCTCCCCCTCCAGAGCGGCCGAGTGCCAATGCCACAATAATCATTCCCGTGCGAGACCCAATGCTGGCCCAGCTGCTTGATGTGAGTGTGATGCGTTTCGGTGGGGATGAACTTGAGAAGGAAGATGAACTGCTCTCAGATCTCCCTAGGCCCTAGGCGCCCGTGCAGAGTCTTTAGCACTGATCTTCGAGTTGAGTTCAGGCCTCTGTTGACAGGCTCCCAGCTCAATCAGAGTCGAAATCCAAACTCCCTCCTCTTCCTCCTCCTCTCTCATCCTCTGGAGACCGCCCGCCTGGGGTCGGAGTAGAGGGGGTCGGATCCTCGCACTGCTTCGACGACACATCGGCGATGCCAGCGTGGCGAGAAGTCGGGCTCCGGTTCGCACTGCATCACCGACGCGTCGATGGTGCGGCGCGATCCTCCGACCCCAATCAACTCCGGTCCTTCCAATTTGGGCGGCTCGGATCCTCCTACTGGGAGTCCTGAGCAGAGTAGCGCATGTTCACATTCCTGCTCCTTCTCCTCCATTTCCTCAGCACAGCCGAAACTAGACTTGCAGGGCAATCCCACTCCCAGGGACTCCATCGGTCCCCATCGCGGCATGCGATGTAACAGACGCGGCCTGCGTACTTGGGCCTGGACGCCACAACGCCGCGCACCAAAAGTCACCCTGGCAAAAGGTCACTCTTAAATACGTGTAGCCGAGAGACGCGCCTGGGGGGGTTCGGCCTGCGGGAGCCGTTTCTGGGTCCCGGGACTGTCCAAGAAATTCCCGAGATGAAAGACCAGCCCTGGGGAAGGGGTCGAGAATTCCAGTGGCCAGCGACTCGACAAAAAAGTCGAGTCGTCGGACTTCTGGGTCTGCGGAGAAATCCGCAGCGGCGGCAATGGCGAGGGCAATGCAGCTGACTTCTGGCGTGCCTTTCGTAGATGATGTCCGCTTCGAATTGTCGCTGGCTCCCCATCGGAACAAACGCAGATGACCCACCATCAATAGGAAAGGATGCTCAGCCACATAGGCAGGGTGCCTCCGCATAGGGGGTTGCTCCAACGATACTCTCCTGCCTTAAACAATCAGGTCTGTCAACGCATGGTGGCACGCGCGGATGTAGCAATGAGCAAAAAGAGTCTTGAGGGGAACGGGGTCCATCGAACACAAATTTCACTTTCATCCTGAATTGTCGCTTGATTGTTCCGAAGCCTGAGAAGGCCTGGAAGGTTCGAAACGGCGAATCAACTCAGGACCGTTCTCCCTCAGGACCCAATTTGCTCACGGCGACGCTGCATTTCTGCCTCAACCAGTGTCGCCTGGCACCGCGCAGCGGCAAGGGCGGAAGCACAAAATGCTGTCCCTGCTCGCTGCTCTTGAGCCGGTCGCATGAGCAGGGCTGCACATGGGCGGTGCAGGAGAATCGGCGAGGGCCTTACCAGTCAAGATTCATCACCCAGCGGCTGGTTCCTGTCGTGTCGACGTGACCTCTGGTTTCTGCCCCGCCTAGATTTTTCAAACTTGAGCGATGTCCGCCGTCCGACAAAAGAGGCCTTCAAGGTTGGTATGTTTTCAGGCCGCCGGTAGCCTCCAACCTTCAGCGCCCGTGCTGGCGTCGCCGCAAAGTCGACGCAGCGCGAACTTGCCGTGGACTGTCAAGAGGCTCTCCTGGAGCTCTGGGGGCGCGGTGGGAATGTCTTGGGATCATGCTGGAGGCCTTCTGGGGAGACCTTGGGGCCCACAGGTCGCCTTGGAACTTCTGAAGGCGGTTTGCAGCCGGCTTGACGCACCTTGGGCGCAATCTTGGACCTATGGAAAAGATTGAAAACACAGCGACTCCACACAGACTGACGTTCGCGTTCACAGTGATGCCCCAGTTGATGGAAGAATATTGATGCACTGGACTTTGGCTCCTGGCCTCGCTCACAATGAGTGCTCACCCTGACTCGTCGTTCCCAGGGCTCTGCTCTCTCAACAACACATTGCCTACGGTGGGTTCAGGTCGTGTCGACGTCGGCGCTGCTTTCTGACACTACGTGGGTCGTTCAACCTTCTGTCCGATAGCTCGGCTCGTTCGATTTCGGCCGATTCTGGGCCGCAGGCGGTATTCAACCTTGCCGCGCTGGGGTCGCACCGCGTCGACACGACACGAGCCTACCGCAAGCCCGAGCATCGGAAGCCTGAGGCACAGGGCAGAAGAAAAGGCAACGATGCCAAAGCGATGACAACTTGCAAACAACCGTCGGGCAAGAATCAAGGGATGATACAGGCTCGTCCTTCTCGCTCTCCTCCCCCGCAAATCCTCCTCCTCCTCCTCCTCGCCCTCCCTGGTCCTCCGCGTCTGCCTCGTTCTCTTCTTGCTCCTCGCCCTCCTACTGCTCGTCGCGGTGGCATACCAGGAACAGGCAAGAAACCCTCGTGTGGAGAATGTGGAGGACGCTCAACAGATGGGCCGGTGCAAATGGGGGCGGAAGATCGCACCGCATCGCCGGTGCATCGGCGACGCGACGCGACTTGGAGCCCAATGATAACTTGCCCGACGTCGCCGATTCAGGGCAAGGTATCCCCACGGACTCTGAGTCACGGTGCTGGCCATGCAGAGCGTGGGCAGAGGTCAGAGCAGAGACAAAGCCAAGCAGCGCAGCGCGCGGCAACGCTGCGAAGTGCTACGTTGCTGCGCAGATGCAGTGCAGCGCGGTGCGGGGCAGCGCCGTGCGGCGCAGGGCACCTCAGCGCAGAACACCGCCACGCCAGGCGGTGCAGCGCGGTGGAGTCGGCGCGTGGGCCTCGAGCAATGGCGGGAGAGCGAGCACCAGGCCGGGAGCCAGGGCCAGAGGTCGGAGAACGCGCGAGGGCAGAGCGCACGCACAGGCGCCGGGGAGGGGGGGCGGCGGCCAAGGAAATCCGCGGCGACTGGGGGCGCAGCTGCTGCCGAGAGGAGCAACCGATAACCCCATCACGAGCATGCGCTGGTAAGGAAGGATGCAGCAACGCAAGACACACAATGCTTCCTCCAACGCGCCAATGATGGCAGTCAGCGGGCAAATCGCAAGCAAACCCAACAGCATACACACAAACTCATGAACATATAATGCAATGTGCTGCAACACATACTCTCTCATCACACCACCGGAAGCCCTGACACCCGCCCGCCCCCGCAAACCTCCCTCCGAGGACCCCACATAAAAACATCCTTCCGCCTCCCTGGTCCTCTCCCTCCTTCGGATGAAGGGCGACGACGACCACCACGACGACTTCCACGATCACGACAACGAAAATCACGACGGCGACGACCATGGCCATGACCACAAAGATCACGACCACGAAGACGACGACGACGACGACCGCGAAGATCACGACCACGACGACCACGACGACGGGCGACGACGGCAGCAACGACGACAACAGCAAGCGGCACCAACTGGAGAGCGCCGCAGCCCGCGGCCGAGGGGACGACGCGCGATGCCGCCTTGCAGCGCCACTCCTGGAAACTGGGGCTGTCGTAGTGCAGGACGACGGCGCCGGCCTCGAGGGAGGACGATCTCGTCGCCACGGCTGGATTTGTCCCTGGGATGATATTGATGATAAGAAAATGGATCATTAGGATGAACAACATCATCCTCACCATCATCTGCATCACAACCATCATTACCATCACCGTCGTCATCAATATCGACACCACAATTATTAGCAACGTCGTGACTATCATGAGATACCGGGCGAAGGATCGGGGTTCAGACTCGGGCATCCTGGGAGCTCCTCGCTGCCACGGCTTCGGTCGACTGAGAATCATGGTCGGGATGCGCCCCCCAGTGCGGGCTCAGGAACCGAACATTGAGGGTGTGCCCAGATCTCTGGCACTCCACAAACATCGCGCCAAATATTGTTCGCGAATTCGTCGGCCTCCTGAAGTGCCTGACACCGCGTAGCATCGACTGAACATGAAAAGCTGGTCCCAGGGGAGGGGCCGAGAGCTACGGGGGCAGGTGACTCGACAAACTCGCATCGTCCAAATATGAGGAAGATGATGGTGACAGAGGTATTCGATACTGGAGGAGGAGGAGGAGGAGGGGCAGGAGGAGAAGGAGCAGGAGGAGAATATTGGAACTAAAGGGTGAGGGGTTACAACGTACTATTTTGCAATTGTAGTACGGTGCGTCTCAAACGGGAATAACCCGGGTGACACGCGAGCTTGATGCTCGGGCCCCAGGCGCGGCGGTGTCGCATATTGCCGCCAGCGCCGCCACCGGCGTCCACGCTGGCGACGCAGCTGGCGGCTGCGACGATGCCCGCTCCGATGGCCTTCCATCTGGACTGGGATCCGTGGAGTCCTGGAGTCCACCAAGGACGGTGCTCAAATAGAAAGCCTCGAAACCGTCGCGCGCTTCGGCCCCATGCATTCTACTCCTCATCAGCGCATTGGGCCCTTTGACTCGACGCGCGAACTGCAAACGAAACACCCCGCAACAGAGTTGTGGGAGTAATCTTGTGCCGATGAAAAAAGGACCCCCTTTTCCAGCTTAGAGTTGATTATCCACGGCCAAGAAGAGTTTGGTCAGGGGCGCGGGGCGCGGAGGCCGAACTCTTCTACATCACTGTGAAAAGTTTACCATCGAGGTTAAGTTCCTCCTTATGTTGAGATAGCAACATCAAACGAAGCGAAGACGATGTCGACGATGTCTCATCGACCTCGATCCTCGACTCTGGGATCTCGATCCTCGATCCTCGGGCTTCGGTTCTCAATCCTCGATCCTCGGCTTTCGGCCCTCTTAACATCATCCCTTTCTCCTCCCACATGCTGGCCTCCAGTAGGCAACGTGTATATTCCCCTCGCGACCCCGAACTGTATTATCCCTGTGGGATTAATCTCCGTGGTGTTCGGTTACTCGTCTTGCGTCGCTCTGTCACTGTACTAGGCGCCGCCGAGTGAACGATCATCCACGCGGGGGTCCAGGTCTGCATGGAAGCATATAGCGCGTGAGGGGATCCTGGACCAAGAATCCCAGGACTGCCGCGTAGTACCCTGAAAAACCGTCGACATAGCCGACGGAATCTCCATTATCCCCCCGCTCTTGCCTGCCTGTGCCAACCCCGACTTCTGCAACGTAGACGCAGATAGCTCGGAACTCTTCGCCAGCTCAATGGGTGCGAACGTCGGATCAAACGACTGTCTGGCACGCGCGGCCACGCGCGCAGGCGGGTGCAATGGAGGTGTTGCGTCCGCAATCTTTTCCCCAATCGACTTCGCCAACATGGTCGCAGGTAGCCTAGAACAATTTGCCAACACCGGAGGCGTGATCGTTGTCTCGATGAGCTGTCTGTCGGCGGTCGCACCCAAAAACGCATGCAATGACGGGGTCGGGTCCGCGATCTGCTCGAACACAATTCGAGCTAGCCCAAAGGAAAGCGTGGGATGGGTGGGCGCGCGGTCGTGCAGGTCGGTGTCCTCGATGTTGCGCAACTGCGCCTCCCCCGTGACGACGAACAGGTAAACGGACGCGATCATGGCGAATGCGGCCCTGCGCGCAACGGGCGCGGCAAGGGGAACAACGCGGGGTCCATGCAGAGGTCGCACTTGGAATCCTTGTATCACGATGGGGATGAGGAACCATCGCCTTCGAAGCGGGGCGGCAAAGAGGCACCATGGCGGCGCGTGGAAGGGAGCCGAGGCTCCACTACCAACCAAAAGTAAAATGTGAGGATTGAGCGCGTAGTGTTTTGCAGCAGGAGAAGTAAAGCAACCTGTATAAACATGATAATCGCACAGGCACGGGGGTCGGCCGACCTCCGCGCCCCCAAACCAAAATGGCCGCGGCAAGGGGATATTATTTAACAGGGCAGAAGCACAGGCAGTACGATAAGGTCCCGTTCGAATAGTAGTAGGCGAAGGAGGAGGAGGAGGAGGAGGAGGACGAGGAGGAGGAGGACGAGGAGGAGGAAAAAAGTGTGGTTGTCCAAAACGGCGGGGGGTCGTCAGGGTTGGAATCGGAACGCAAAAACTGGCCAGGATGGATCTTTCGATGGGGTCCAGGCACCGATTGTGAGCAGACTCTGGTCAGACAGGCAGGAGGAAAAGCAGCAGGAGGTGGACCATGTAATACACTGAACATGCGTTGACTAAAATTCAATGGGCCCTCTCGTCCGTCCCCATTTTCATCGATCCCGGGTATTCCTTCTCACTGCGGGAACCGCCCCCTTGAAAGACGAGCACCCCACGGGCACGCCATTCAAGCGAGGCCCCCACTTTGAGAAGGAATTGGCCAAATCAACGCGAAAACTTAGGACCATTGAAAAATGCCCCTCGAGAACAATGCTTCAAACAAATAAGCCCTTCATCCGTCAAGCTGTTGCATTGTGTTCAACGTCGGACCGTAAGTTTTAAAGACATATCAAGCGAGAACTCTCGAAAATACCAACACGATTCAAACAGTCTGGCCGCCGGTATTACGGACATCTCGAGCAACAACCCAATTTTGAAAGGAACCGACCTCACATCTTTTAGCTGCTGGAAATTGTTACAACGAGTGCGCGTGGCGCTGAGGCGATGACGACATCGTGGAAACAGGTACCACCCTCAACCCTTGTAAATAACAGTCGGGGGATATGTGGCGACGACTGTGCACGGCGTGATGCGAGAGAATAACATGTTGAAAATCACTCGCATTTAATATCTTTCAATGTCGGGTCTATCAAAGCAGTGAGGGCGAATGCGCGTGGAGCTAAAGCGAGAACAATTCTAAAACCACCAGCTTTCAACATGTTTAGGCGGTTGGAAACGGTCAAGACGCAATTGCACGGCGCTGTGGTGGGATCCGCGTTTTGAAAACAAACCGCCCTGTACTATTGTGCGGGTTAGACGCGTTTTAAGTGAATGCCCGCGGCGCTGTGGTCACACTTTGAAGGTCACTCGCTCTCCATCCCAATAGCTGTTGGTGAAGTCGGAGGCAATACGCACAGACCGCTCAGTTGACACGTCTGGTGGTACGACGAAGAAATGTTTTGAGGGGGCCGACAAGGGGTGACCTGGCTCAGGGGGGGCAATCATCGACTTGGAATCGACGGCGCACCGCCGACATGTCGGCGATAGACCCTCGATCACAAAACCGAACTTTCATGGGGCCGGGTGTTGCACCCAGGCCCCGAACGGCGAGGCATGGGCGATTACGGGTCGGTGCTCCCCCCCCCCCTCCCCCGTCCGTCGGCACCCCTTCCCCCCCCTTCCCCCGTCGGCGCCCCTGAAATTATGCGAAAGGGCGGCGGGGCCTCCCTGGCGCAGCAGCTGGGGTGGCAGCAGCCCTCGGCCTTCGGGGCGGGGCGGCCGCTCCACGCGGGGAAGGGACAGGTCGAGGATCGAGCAGGAGACCGAAAAAGGTGAGGAAGAATTCGAGGATCGAGGGCCGGGGATCGATGATCGAGGGGGAGGCTGATATCGATGGTCGAAGGGACAGATGAGATCGAGGATCGGGACTACATGGGTTCGGGCGTTTTTCGCCTCCCTGGGCCCCCCAAGGCGCCTGTGTCACCAGGGCGCATCCAACTCCTCAAACCCCCTCCTGTTGCTTGTCCTCCTCCTCCTCCTCTTCCTCATCCCTGGTCCTCCTCCTCCTCCTCCTCCCCCTCCTCCTCCTCCTCCTCCTCCTCGTCCTCCTCCGCATGCCTGGACTTCCCCGTGTTCCTCCTCATTTTCTTCCTACTACTCCCCTCCTCCTCCTCCTTATCCTCCTCCTCCTCCTCCTCCTCCTCCTCCTCCTCCTCCCTGTTCCTGACCCCTGCTTCTCGCGCGTAGCTGAAGGCAACCACGCCCTGCTATCCAACGAGCCGACTGCGCGCCCGCTGCAGCAATACCTTCGTGAGAGGCACAGCTGACTGAGCCACTTCAAACGAAAGAGGCACACATAGCTTGGGAAGACATCGAATATTAACGAAGAGCACGCGGGCAGTGGAATGAACGGCGGGGCTCGAGCGAGAGGGAGGAAAATACAAAGACGGCATATGGGACAATCGTGCACGACAGCGTGTAGTACCGCAAGGGAACGGAATTATCCCCAATAGTGCGCAAGGGTGTCAGGAGCGGCGCAGCCGAACCAGCAATGCAGCGAAATTGAATCATGACATCGCTTAAAACTGATCCAGCTGCCCAGGGAAGTCCTCAAAACGCCATGCGAGATGGGCCCATTTTCATTGAGGGAACCAGATGGCAAACCTCTTCCAAGCAGGAAAATTCAAAGATCGGGGGCGTCCCAGGAAGCCGCGCGGCCCATCGGGCCAAGAAAGCAATGCCGAGGTCGAGGTCGTCTGGGAAGCGTTCGCGCTGACGTTGCGGAGAGATCGGACAGGGGGGGGGGGGGTAGATGCAGAGGCCGAGAACTCCCGAGCAGCAGCAAGCGCGCAGCTTGACGCAGAACCAAGGAATTGACACATCTGGCGACGGCCTGCCTGGGGTGTTCGACAGAAGCAAGGCTTGGCCAGAAGGCCCGGGCGAGAAGCGGCCAGCGCAATACTCGGCGAGCTCAAGATGTCTAGCAGCAAGACTGCGAAATTATGTCGATATGGCGGCATGCTCGGAAAATGCATCAATGGCACCTCTCGCGGGACACGCGGGGCTCGTGGCCAGAATGCTGAAGGCGGAAGGCCCTTCCCAGGCGCCGACGTTGAACCGCCCAGCTCCGGACATGGCACCACGGGCGCGAACGCGGCGCGCTCGGTGCGAGGGGGGGGCGAGCGACGGCGGGGCAGGGGCCAGGAACGCGACAAAACTGAGCCACGTAAGAAAGATCGCACGGAAAAACGATTGGAATACAAACATTCGCTAAAAGCGGCCGGCGCGAGATGACGCCGCCGCGGGGGCCCCGCTTGAGCAGCGGCGAGCGCCGACTCTCGGCGCGGGCCCCGGGCCCGAGGACAAGCCCCGGGCAGGTCGGGCACTCAGCGATTGGAAACAGCCCCAGGTCGGGATTTGATTGCGAAGCCAAGCCCGCTACTTGGCGACGAGGGCGGGGGCGCGCCCCCCCACGAGCGGAACCAAGAAACGCTTCGAGCTCCTCAAATAAAACAGGCGAGGGCCCCGCTGCTATCGAACGCCGCATCCAGATGATGAAGGTCAAAGAATGTCAGAAACTACGGCGGCCGCGCCGTCGGCGCGCGCTCGAGCGAGCCTCCGGACTCTAGCGCGCGCCCCTTCAATCATCTCTTCGCGCGGCGAAAGACGGGGCCACTCTCCTTGATCGCCCAGGCAGCGCCGCAGATACATCAGAAGCGGGCGGCTCGCGATCGCGCCCGAGGCCCGCCCCCCGGGCAAGCGCCGGCGAACGCGGTCGACGACGAAGAAGGCAAGACCGCAGACTCTCGCGGACGCAGGGGCGCATCTCGCATGAGCTCGAGGGCACTCGACAAAGACAGAGAGCGGCAGAGGGGCCCTGGAGGCGCCGAAGTACATCACAACCCATGAGAGATTCCCTGATGGAAAGGCCCGGCCGTAATCCCAGGAGATCGCGGCGGGAGGCTGAATTGACGCGTCGCGCGCCATCGAAACTATCCTGATCCTCGCCCAATTCAAAAGAGCTCAATCCGAACCCTCGCCCACGCGCGAAACCCGCTTTCGGGGGCGCGCGATGGCGCTTGAGACGCCGACTGAGCCCTTCGAAAAAAATCCACGGATCAATTTATTCCGGGGGCCGCGCAAGGCCCACGGGGCGGGGGCCGCGAGTGGCCATTTCCCCATCCTGCCCGCCTTCGTCTTTGGCAGTGAAGCACCGCGGACGCCGCGCGAGGAAGGGGGGCGTCTGTTCTCCGCCAAACTGCCGCCGCCTGGCCGAGCCCAGACTTGATGGGGCCCGAGGGCGCCCTTCCCGACAAAGGGGGGGCCATCGAGCCTGGGGCGCAATATGACGCGTATGACGCGAGCAGGTCGGCGTCCAAGGGGGGTGATGCGAGAGATCAGCATAAACGGCATGTCTAGCAAAACCACGAGCGGCGCGCGCGTCGATCGCTCTCCTGCGGCAGGTCGACTGGCCCCGCGGGCCTCCCGAGCTCCTGGGCGGCAGCGATCGGCGCAGTGGCGGCTGCCGCCCCCCCCTTAAAAAAAAACGCACAGAAAAAAGCTGCCCTGGCCCCCCGCGATCTCGCCCCGCGGTCGGAGGGGCCCAGGCCCGCCCCTTCGAATCGCTCTCCCCCGTTTCCGTTGGGCATTGGCCCGAGGCCGAGAAGGTCCATCTTCCGCTTCGGCAATCGTCTGCCTTGGGGTCGCTTGCTTCTGGGTCGCAAGCACCCCGCGAGTCGCGCGGGGGCGCCCCTGGAACTCAGGCGGACCGATCGGCTCCGCTGTCCGCGCCAGCGGGCCGACCCGCAGGAAAAGCTCGACCAAGTCGCGGGCGCGCCGCGCGCACTGGGCGCATCTAGCATCTCGGCGCCAGATAGCACTGCTAGCGCGACCGATCGCCGCGGTGACGAGGAGTCGGGCGAATTGGGCTTGGGGGCGTGAGTGGCCATGCTATCCGTGGCGGTGCTGGCAGCCCGTCGCATCCTCTCGGAGTAGACCTGAAGACGCAGCGGGGCGCGCGGCGCGGGCTGACTCTGGTCGCGCTTCTCCTTGACCGTTCCCAAACCACTCGGTGCTCCAGACCAGATGGTCGCAAATCCAGGGGGGGGGAGCCAATGGGGGGGGGGGGGGGCTTTTTTTTCCGGTGGCATGCGGGCCCGGGGTGATGATCGCTCGGACAGGGGCGCGATCAGATACTCCGCGCATGCGCAAAGGCTTCGGCGGCTCCGCCGCCGAACCTGTGAAACTGCGCCGCGTCGCCATCCCCCCTGGGTCGAAGCGTCGAAGCGACTTGCGCGTCGATGTAGGCAAGCAACCTCTTGGTCGAAAACTGGCCCTGGGCCTAGAGCTCGGCCATCCTCGCGAACTCCAGCGCGCGAGCCGTGTCCGCCTTAGCTTTCCAGTCCTTGCGTAACCCGTGGGATGCCCCATCCGTTTCGGCGCCCCCCCCCCCCCGCCCTCCTCAGGGCGGCTGAGCGGCGAAGTCGTGGCCCCCCACGTCCAGCGCCGCGCAGAGACGGGGAAGCTCCTGGACATCAGGCAGATCCCTGGGCAGGCGTCGCAGCATCTCCTGCTCGCTCCTGGCGACGCGCTTACAACTGCGAGCGTTGCAGTGGATGAGCATGTCGTCGTCGTCCAGGCCCAGGCCTACCTGACAAGCTCGACCTGGAACGATCTCCAGAATCTGGACTCGAGGGGCCTGGGCCCCAAACCGTTCAAAACTGGGGTAGAAGGTGGCGGCGCCCCCTGCCTGGGGCTCTGGACAGAAAGGAGCGAACAACTCGTGTTTGAGGTTGGAGTGGTAGGGGAAGCCCTGGATCTCTAAACTGAAGCCACGGCTCTGTTGGGCCCTCACGGTGGAATCTGATGGGGAACGAAGTAGGCGTCGGGGAACAACGAGCCTGGGTTAACGGAGGGCAGGGTCACGATGGAAGAGAGCACGGGCGTTCCAAGTGGCCAGCGCAAGGGGCAACTAGACTTCGCTGGGCCCGCGCCGCGCACAAGCTTCGCTGGACTTCGCTGGGGGGCATCGCGCTGAACAGACCGCGCGGGAGGGCTGGCAGGCTGGCCCACGGCGTGACAGCGCTCAGCAACGACACCTGTGCCGTTGTTGTCGGCCACGTTCTCCAGGCGCCACTCGGGCTTGCATGGCTCGATCCCTGGCATAGGGGTGACCCTGGCGGGGGGGGGGGGGGGGCTTCCAATTGGCGCCCCCATGTTTTTTTCTGCACGTCGCTAAGAAATCCCTGGCCGAAACCTCTCGGGGGCACGGTGCGCATGTTTGAGTCGAAGCTCGCGTCTGGCCATGGCTGGCGACTTGACGGTGCTGGAGTACAGCTCGGCCCTCTGGCCTTGCAAGTCAAGGGGGATAGACTTTGACCATTCTCCTGAAGCCATGTTAAACGCACGAACTGCTAGGGCAACTGTCAATTGGGTGCGGGCGTCGTCTCCAAGGGGCGCGAAGGCAAACTTCTTGCCCACGGGGTCAGAGGTGAGGCGGTCGTCTGCTCCATCTAAGACCTGGCACGCAAAGGGGCGACAGCCTGCTCAAAAAATTCGGGAAAGACGACAGACTTGCACCTGGCGGTGGAGATGCGGGGGTCGATGTGCCGGTTGAGGGACGAATCCAAGACTGCTGCTTGCGGCTCCTCGGCTTTGATACGGTGCGCTAGGAAACCCAACTCAGCGACCATCCCTTCAAGTGCTCGGACATGTTCGTCTGTTGCTCTCTGATTGGCTTGAAGCTGTCCGAAGCGCATCTCGATCTGCTTGCTGACGCCGTCGTAGCTGGGGCCCATGGTGGAGCCGATGGCGATGACGGTGGACTGCATGGCCTCAACCTTCCGCAGCAATTCAGCACGAATAGAACCAACAAGATCACGGGAGGCGCCCATAACCGCCATGCGATTTTCCGCATTTCCTTCCTTCGAGTCAGGGAACGTCGCGGCGGAATCATGCGGGCAGCGAAGTCTGCCTGCCTCCCCCGTGGACATGGCAACGGCTGGAATAGCACGGAACTCCATCTGATGCCATGAGGGCTCCACGGTTTCAGCTTGAGCCGAAACGGTTACGGCCCCTGCTCCTCCTCCTCCTCCTCCTGTCCCCTCCCCCCTCTCCCCTCTTTCACTACTTCCCTCCTGCTCCTCCTTCGCTCCTCCCTCGTCATCCGCCTCCCCCTCCCGCCTCCCTCCTCCTCCTCCTCCTCCTGGTTTGGTTCCTCCTCCTCCTGCTCCTCCTGCTCCTGCTCTTCCTCCTCCTCTTCCTCCTCCTCCTCCTCCTCATCTTCCTCCTCCTCCTCATCCTCCTCCTCCTCCTCACCATCCTGCTAGTCCTCTTCTCCCTCTGCCAGCTGACACTCATCCCTCCGCGCTTTCATGTCTCCTCCATCACACATCGTTTCCATCCGTCTCCTTCTTCCATGCATAAACCCACCAGCTCTTCAGGGCGTAAGTGGTTGGGCGCGCGTCCTCTTCCAACCCCCTTTTTCCCCTAAGGGAATGCCCAGTATGCTCCAAGAGGCCCCCAACGCGCCAGCAATAGGCCCCCCAGACGCCCCAACATGCCTATGAGAGGCCGTCAAAAAACATTCCAAGAGACCCAAGGAAGCATCCAATGGGCCTCTGGTGCCACGCTCCCTCGTTCTGGGCAGCTCCTCTGGGCATCGTGTCTGGATGGGCTGGTGAGAACACACGAAGCATTAGACTATTCCTGCTACGAATCCTAGTATTCCTTTTCATCCTCCTCCTTCTCCGCCTCCTCTTCCTGCTCCCGGTCCTTCTCCTTTTCCTCCTCTCCCACCTCGGTTCTTAATACTACTATTACTATTAGTTTTATGATTTGTATCCTTCGTTTTGTTCTTCTTCTTCATTCAGCTAATTCTCCTGATACCTCTCAGATTCCTCGTTCATCCCTCTTCCTTCCCCCTCCTCCTCCATCCGCTTCGCTGTGTCCCAACTCACGTGTGAAACCTACCCGCAGGCCGTATGATCAAGCTACTGTCGGGGTGTGGTGGGGTTCGTACGTTGAAATATGTGTGCCACCATGTGAACCAATATCGGGGCGCCGGATACCACAACATCGATGAGGCGGCCCACATGGAGCCGTAACAAGTGTGTGGGGGGGATATCACTAAATCCCAGAGTTGGCGGCGCCAGAATGTGGAACATCGGGCTTTTGATCGCGCCGCATTGCTGATGCATTGGCGACGACGTGCGGTCCAATCTCCGAGCCCATCTACTCGGACACCATTCGGGCGGCCTCCTCCTCCTCCTGCATTCATTTTCCTCACACATAACTCCTCCCTGTCGCATGAGACTTCCTCACCACTTACGACCCTGAAGCGGTGTTCAAAGTGTGGTTCTCGCTTTTACGCCGCGCACATTCATTTTTTCACCATTTGCAGAAAATCAACGGATTGAGGGCGGGACATTTTCAACATGTGGCAATCGCCTTAGCGCCGCGCACATCAAAACAAAAAGTGCAAGAGCTTCACGGATTGAGGGCGGGCCGTTTTCAAAATGTGGTTGTCGCTTCAACGGCGAGCACACTCATCTTTAACATTTGAAAGCGGTTCACGGATTGAGGGCGGCTCTTTTTCAAAATGTGGCTCTCGCCTTAGCGCCGCGCGCATTCGTCTTTTCCAACATTACAAGAATTTCGCGGGTTCCCAAGGCACACGTACCAGGAATTGTGTTTTGGAAGGACTCAGGATTCTGAGGGTGCAACAATTACGTTGGTTCGCGATGCTGGTATCCCAGCAGTGGTACTCTGGCATGATTCAAGATCGTCAAGACGCAACTGTCAGGTTGATCCGTGGCTTTGGAGCCCCGAGAATGAAGTTCTGGCACGCTTCAAAATCTTTAGATGTGGGTCCCCCAGCACGGCAGTTCCCTCAGTGGAAATGAACTCTAGTAGGGGTCTGTGGAGAGGGAGCTTGGAGGGAAGGTATGTTCCAACACCGTTGATGGGTCTTGGGTTTGCACTGATCCTCCTCCTCCTCCTCCTCCTCCTCCTCCCCTTTTCCTCCTCCTCCTCCTCCTCAGCGAGGCTTCTGCTCATCCTAACCCTCCTCCTCCTCTTTCTTCTCGTCGATTGCGGCCGGGTCGAGGAGACCGCAAGGGCCGAGGACCATGTGGCGTCCGACGAGCTCGTAGATCTGAAGCCGGGAGGCAGGATCGGGCAGCTCGGCAGACACGAACCGCTCGATTTGGGTCTGCGTGCGGTGTTCATCGGGCTCGGCGAGGATGAGAGGGAGGTAGACGTGAGGGAGGCCTCGCTTCTGGAATTCGACGAGGTAGGTCCATGCGAGAACCTTTCCGAGGACGTCTCCAACTGTCAGGGCTTTCAGAAGCACTTGAAGTTTGGAGCGAAATACCCTGGCAACCAAGTCTGCTGGGCGATCTTGAGGCTGCTCGCCAGGCCGAAGGTTTGTAGCAATCTCGGGCCATTTGGGATTCGCGGTGCAGGTGATGAAGAAGTCGAAGCACCCGAATCGTGCCACGAGGCTCAAGGCGTCGAGGTATAACTGATGAAATGCTCAAGGGCCGCCTCAAGCTCGCATGTAAAATGACTGGCGTGCCCGGGAGAGGTCGCGGCACGTTGGGCGGTTCTTCGCCGCGGGCCTCGGGCGGCGGCGGCGCAGCAGATGAGTGAGCTCTTGGTTGGGCGCCGTATCCGCAGATGTGGATGGCATGGGCATGTCACGTGCAAATTACTCCGCGATGTAATCCAGGAGCCTTGCGCAGCTGGCGCTGATCACGCGCTGTCCAATCCAGTCGCGCATGTTCCACTTTCATAATGGCGTCCACGATGAACTTGTGGAACAGCCTGCCTGCGGCGCGTTGGGGCTCGGCCTCCAAAGCATTCGAAGGCTCACGTTGCATGAGGCGGAATGAACAGAACTCGGACATGCTGGTTTTACGAGGCTGACCCGTGTGCGGGTCAGGCAAGTTTTGCAAACCGCATGAATAACCAAGTCTACCGTCGACGTGGATGGGAAGGTAGGCCAACGGGTCCACGTGTTCGGACAAGTAGGATATTTTGTGGATCACAGAATGCTCTCGCAAGATATTGATATCGCAAACGGAGGCGAGCTGCTCTGACAGCGCGCCCTCTCCGACGACGACGCGTGACACCTCCGCAGACGATGGCTGGTTGCACGCGCGAGGCTCACAATCGGTAGCTCTAAAGAATCGGAAAGCATGCCGTGGCGATCCACCCCTGCTTGGCCGCGGCGCTCGGCTGCGCTTGTTTGCGCGGCCTCGTGCGCATGGAGAAAATCTGCCAGACAGGGGGTCCGGGGCTGGTGTTTGTTGTGCGCGACTGCTGCAGGGTCCGTTCGATGCGATGGCTCTGGGGTGGGGCGCAGCAACGCGTCGAGCAGCTATCGGAGGATGGCAGGGTCGAGTTGCGGAACTGCTGTCGATCGGAGTTTTGCTGCAGGGGCAGCGTCGTAGATGTATAGCTGCGCGTATCGAGGCTTGGCGGTGGCAGCACATGGGCTTCCAACCAGATGGTGAGGCTCCTGAGACGCCCCCGAGAAGCCCCCAAGCCGCATCCAAAAACATGTCCAAAACAATATTACAACTGTGGGCCGCGCCACGTTGAAGCATCGCAGCGTTGGCTTCCAAACACGCGGCGCAGGAGTCACCGATCATGCTTCTGGTAGCCCCCCCGAGTGAAATCTCCTGGAACACTGTTGCGACGGCTTCTGTTGGCTACGACCGTCCCCGCTGCGCCCTCGACCCACGATCCAAGCACGGTGCTGGGGGGGTCCAAAGGGGAGTTCACAAATCATGGCCGGAGGCATGTGCGCGGACGAGGGGGACCAGGGGACCACTTGAAATACGATGAAGGCGTCATGAGATCCGGGGATACATCATGGCCCCCGCTATGATATCCCCCCCTAAAGTCTCTCGGAGGCCTCCGACGGTGGTGGGATGGGTCGAAGACTATCCGGTAATTTCTGCTTTCCAGCCCACCCCGTCGCCGGTGCTACGGGCTGCTACGAAAGATGAGAATCGCGTGACCAAATCCACTCCAAATCGGTTCGTGGACCCCTCCTGGGGTCCATCCTGACACGTTCTCCGCGCCGGGTGCAGTCGTGAAGACGAGAAGCCTCCTGGAGGCCCACAGAAGTCAAAACACGCCCAAGTCCTCTAAGCTCGAATCTCGGTCTTCGCCGCCGTCGCCTCTAAATGCCACAGTAGGCTTCTCGTGCAGACATACTGCGTCACGCAGATATCAGAAAAAACGTCGTCGGCGAATGCACACCCTGCGGTAGCCTTGTCGTGCAGGCCGTACCTCGCCACGCAGATTTCCGAGAACGTCCTAGCGCGTTGCCCCCCCACCCCCTCTGGCTCAAAACTAAACTTCCTCTGGTGCTGCGGCGAGCTCGACCATACAGAGATAGTTCGATACCTCGAAAAGGAGGGAGGATGGAGGAGGGTGGAGGATCGAAACCAACCTAATCAACCTGATCTTGCCCTACGGGGAAAAAAGGATCCCGAGGGAAAAGGGACATGGATCCAGTGGACTTCTCTTGGACCAACTTTCGACATGTCAGGCCGCGCGTGCCAATAAGCCCCATCTCAGAGAGAGGACATAGCGACCTTGAGCGGTGGCTTACTCACGCCACTCACCCAACACATCGGACAGATAAGAGAGCGCCTACCCCCGAGCTTATGCGGGCGGCTTGCGCGCGAGTGCCCGCGCAGGACCCCCTTCGAAATTATGCATTACTCACGCGAGCAACAAATAATCCTTCAACATCTGCGACCGGGAAACTGCATTCCCTCTTTGTTTCGGCCCTTGGTGGCCCCGTCGTGGCAACCACGGCCGCGCGTGGCTCGCGGAACTGGCTGGGATGAGCGAGGGGGAATATTGAACACAAATTCAAATGTGCAATCTTGACAACATGTCGCTTGCCAACGAAAGTCTGCTACAAAAGCAACGTACTATGAGGTCAACCGTGGAACTGACATGCACAATACTTCGCATTGCCACCTTCTGGCAATTTCTCCGCACATGCACCTTGAAATTGGGGGCTGCGGGCCAGCCCACTGCCGTGATTCGATCTGCCACCAAGACCTCGCCTACGTCTGCGATGTATCCTGCCAACTCGAACCTACAATCGAAACAACTAAAAACAAATTCGTTTCCTAAGCATTGAACGCGTCCGACTGTCAACTCCGAAACCCATGCGCGCCTAAGCATCATTCTCTCGAATTCGGTTGTGCCCCTTGACTTGCCGAATAACCTTGCGCACGCATGCGATGATAATATCAGCGTTCGGACATGCAACGGCAATGTTGTATCCTTGCAATCACCCTTCCAACCACCATTCTGCTGAAGAGCCGGTAAGAGGATGCTTCTCGCATCCGATGCAAACCTCACACATCAAGAACGCCGCGCTGCTCTCTGAGGCGGGTGAAGCCGCTCACGCCTGTGGCCATGACGCGTTCAGCTCTCATGATCCAACGCTGCCGACGTACTTTTCAACTAGGCTTTTCGTTGGCATGGGCATAGTGGCGCCATCATCACTGGCACTATGTCAACTGATTCGACAGCGGTCAGATGGATACTCCTGATCCCTCGAACCGCATCGTCTCCAACACAAAACTGATCTTGAAACCCTGCAGGCAATGATCATCGGCATTATGGGTGGAGGATGTCGAGCCCATGACCTCGCCAGATTGAGCAATATCCTCTCAAAACTTGAAGGACACGTCGACAGGACTGTCATAGCAAGCCAACAATCCCCTGTCAATGTGAAGACTGCTTTCGTGGCACATCGTCGGCCTTTAGAGTCGTTGCGTCCAAAAGAGCCATCTATCTGGGAGGACCTCGCCAATCCAGGTGTGGAATGATAGCACGAGCTTCCGCATTGTCCACGCTGCATGAAGAACTTCCCCCCGCGCTTTTTGAAACTACGGGAAGCGGTTCCCATCTGATTCAACAAGGCGGGCGCCATCGCTCCAAACGCGGAGGGCAGAAACAATCCTCGAGCACCCTATAACATCAACTCCGGGCTGTTGTCAGACTTATCAGACTCAACTGTCACAATCATCGGCGCACCCTCTGTCTGAATCCATGCGAACTAAGCGTCCTGGGCTTGCTGATTTCTCCCTCAACTGCATGCGAAAGATCAAAAGCGGCCGCCATGCCAACACCTGCACTCGCTGGACTAATTCGTCCATGCAGGATGTCCTCTGCCACCTCGCCTACTTGGAAGCAACACTGCTGAGCCATGGCCACGACATCAAGGGCAAGGAAGCCTGCGACGCGAAACTTCTCACGTGCAAATCTTGACTTGCGCCAGGGAGACATAAGCGCGGAGGCAGAGACGGGGGACGAGGGCCTAACCCCCATGCCGACCGAAGTGCGCCACAGGGCCGAAACACAACTTCGGCCCTGTGGTGCCGTTGTCAGTGCTTGGGCGCTGCAGCTGGAGAAAGATCCGGATTTGAAACAGGAGAAAGAAATGGAGCAGGAGGGGGGGGGGCAGGACAGAGACTGGGATGGGAAGCAGGAGGCGAAGCAGAAGGAGGGGATCAGGAGTTCGAGCACCACGAGCAGGGCGAGTGGGAGAAGCAGGAGCAGAAGAGGCCAAGGAGGCTCTGCCCTGGAGCCAAACCGAAGGCCAAACGGACCCTGCAGAGGCAACAACCCCCCAAAGATTGCCCGAACCAGCCGATGCTGACTGCTAGATGGCTCCTGGAGTGTAAGTTCTATTGACATTCTGGCCCCTTTCCGCCTGAGGAGCTCTGACATCCGTCGACTCGATTCTGTTAGAGTCGCCGGCGAGCTCCCGACCCGTTCCACGGGGCCTGCTTTTCACCCTGAATCGCTTTTTGACGGTGTCGGGGCCCAGAAGCGGCCCCCAAAGCAGAGAAATACAAACAAATCCATGCATTCTTCTGGAGTCGCCCCAAGTCTGGGTAAACATCCACTTTGACTGGGTCCCCCAGAGTCCATCCTGGCAATTCTTTGAGCTGCGCCCAGCTATGGCCACGAAGAGCCGCCTCAGGTGGCCAACAACTAGCACAACGAGGAGGAGCCCTTCCCATGCCATCATCCCTCCACTCGTTCTCCCCTCCATTCCTCCCTTCCTTCCTTCCTCCTCATCATTGCTAAGAGTCCTGTCGTAGCGGCAGAAGTGGTGGACGCCACTGCAGTACACGCTGCCTGTGACGGGCGGTCGTGCCTCCTCCTCCTCCTCCTCATCGTCCTCCTCGTCCTCCTTATCGTCCTTCTCGTTTTTCATACGATATCCCTCCTCCGTCTCTTCCTCCTCCTCCTCATCCTCCTCGTTCTCCTCCTCGTCCTCGTCCTCGTCCTCCTCCTCGTCCTCGTCATCCTCCTTCTCCTCCACCTGCTCATTATCATCGCACGCATCAGCAGCATCATCATTAGCAGCATCATTATCATCATCATCATCATCATCATCATCATCATCATCATCATCATCATCATCATCATCCTCATCATCAGCATCATCATCATCATCATCATCATCATCATCAGCATCAGCATCAGCATCATCATCATCATCCTCATCCTCATCCTCATCATCATCATCGACAACAGCAAGAACACCATCATCCTCGCCTTCGTCTTCCTATTATCCGTCGTCGTATTCGCATGATGCTCATGATTGGAATTTCCATCCTATGCATCACCAACATCATCATCACCATCACCATCATCATAATCGTCATCGTCATTGTCATCATGATCAGAAGCATCATCGTCACCACCACCACCACCATCACCAGCACCACCACCACCACCACCATCATCATCATCATCATCATCACCACCACCATCATCATCATCATCAGCATCATCATCACCATCATCAGCATTATCATCAGCATCATCAACAACAACAGCAGCATCAGCATTGTCATCATCATCATCATCATCATCATCGTCGTCGTCGTCGTCGTCATCACCACCAGCATCATCGTCGTCATGGTCATCAACGTCATTCCTGTCCTTCTCCTATGTCTCTTCCTCCCCTCCTTCTTCCATCTTCTTCATCCTCCTCCACCTGGACTTCTGGTTCTCCAGCTCGCGCCCACCCCTCTTGCTACTCCTGCCCCCCTCCTCCTCCCCCTCCCTCTCCCCCTCCCCCTCCTCCTCCTGCTTCTCCTCCTCCTCAGTACCCATGCTCGCTCAAGCCATTTGACTGGCTCCTGCTCCTCCCCCGCGCCATGGGGAGGTCTTAGGCTGTCAAATCATGAAAGGCAGCCTGCCGCTGGTGGCGCGGGAGGTACTCGGCGCGGCAATCGCCACCCAACAACTGTGCCTGGAATGCAAAGCCGTGCACGCAGCCCTCGCAGCCGCGGTGCTAGGAGCAGCGCAGGGTGCCACCATCCAGTGATCGTGGCGCCGAGGACGGAGGAGGGCCGCCGGGCTGGTGTCCTTTCGGCGCAGGGCGCGTCGGCCCTCGTGCACATGGATATCCCGCTCTAAGGGGTCAAGGAGGGAACTGACCTCCAGAAAAAAAAACCAACGTCTCGCAATAACGAGCGTGGACAAACCAAAACGCTTGTGATGGGGCAACTCGGCTCGGCTCGGTCAGCCGGAACAGCAACACGACATGCCATCCAGGCGTGTGGGACTTTATTTCTAATCACCACAGATAGTGCAGGCCAATAATATTACGGAACTCAAAGGGCTCGGCGAGAGGATTGAGGAGGCCCAACAGCTTTTTGTCACACCAAACACACCAATGATACCCGACCGCATGCACTAAACGAGCGTGAAATCACCTCGAGGCCAAATGCGATAGGCGAGCCAACACGCGAGACCTTGGCCAGCGCAGATCAATTTAGACGGCCGTAGCCACGGCAACGAAGCAAAGCTGTCCTGCGCATGCGGCCGAGGCAACCCAGATCCCGTGCCTAAGTGCCGTGAGCCGCGAGGTAAGCTCGTAAGTCCCACTGGACTCAAAGGGAAGAGGACGAGGAGAGAGAGGAGAATATGGAAATGATAAGCGCGTGACGGCTCTGCCAGCCATTTCGAACACACACACACACACACACGCACACACACACGCAACGGACGCAACGGTGGAGGCGGAGGAGGAAAGACAGAAAAAGGAACGATAAAGGAGAAAGGGGAAGGAACGGGAACCGACCGCTCCACCGTAGGACTGTGGATCCACAGCGAACGACAAACAACACATGCCAGAAGCCTACCATCAAGCAAGCTGCCCCCACGCACAACATGCGCTGCGCGAAAAAAGGATGCGGCAAAGCCAACAGCAATGCACATGTAATCAAGAAAGACGGAGAGGGATCCTGCGCGCCTAAGAATCGCCGCCGCCGCATCGGGAACATGGCATCCCATCTCGGCGGGGTCACGCCCGGCCCCAGCGCGAAGCGCCCGTCACACCCTGGCGGCGTGCCAGCCGCCTCCAACGCGAGTTCGGAGTCACATCTCGTCGGCACAAGGCCCATTATCCCGACGTGCTTGCAGACGCGACAAAGAACATGCACCGATTCCGCCCACTCACGGGCGTCCTCCAACTCATTGCTGGGCGTGCTAAGGTGGAGGAAAAAGTCCACGGCCAGCTCCCCAGCACGGTGGCCCTCGCCCCGCCGCCGCCGCACGACAAGGCAGAACGCCACATGCGCGATGGAGTTGTGCCGCGCTTGCATCCAGAGCGGCGCAGCCTTTGCCTTCCCAACCGCGGCTCGTGCACCGCTGCCCAGACCTTAATTTCGGGCTGCATCTGCGCCCTGTCACTTGCAGCATGGGCACGGCGTGCTGAACGCAGAGCCTCGGCAGAGGCTGCAGATTCCAGTGTGCGAGTTTGCGGCGAAGCAGTGAACGGGCGCGCCCCCATGGCGTGCCCCTGCGGGCCACGCGCTGCTTGGCGACGAGGGCCTGCTGGCCCGCGCGTTGCCCGCGGAGTTCGTCTTCTGGCGCAGAGGTTCGTGCCAACTGCCCCTGTTCGGCGAAGTCGTTGGGTTGGTCCTTATAGCTGCGGTTCCGCCGCGCGAAGCTAATCGAGCCGCGCGAGCGCGATGTTGTTGGCGTGGCTGGTCAACTAACTGTCGAATGGCCCAGGCCCGCTTCCTACTGCAGCTCTCTTCCCTTTGCAGCGCGCATCGCGCCCTGAAGATTCAGGAAGCCAATGGGGACAGTAATGGAAGTGAGATCGCGCAACGCCTCTGGCGTCACCTAGTCCATGGGCCCAGGCAGGAGGGCGCGGCATGCCTCGGCGAGATCTCGCTGCAACGTCGGAGGTGGGCATTCGAACTGGCCGACGAACATTGACGCCGAGGCGATGTAATCCCGGTGCGCTTTGAGACTCATAAGGGGCGCAACGCCGAGCTTGCCCCACCGAGCGGCACGAGATGCGCATTTCATCCGGGGGGCGACCCAGGACAACTGCTGTCGCCCATGCCCCTAGTACACCCCGACGTACTTGGCCGCTGCGGCAGTGGTGCGTCCATTCCAGCTGGGCGTGCACACGTGAAGGGGCCCACTCAACCGATCTGTTTCCAAAGAGCCCGTCATGGCCAGGACCGTCTTGGCGACGTTGGGCAGCAAACCTGCGATCAGCTCGAATTCGTCGAACAAGCGCTGAGGATGCCCCGCGCGCCTTCGGGCCGCAAGGCGGACCATCGCCAAATCGTCGGCGGGCGCACTACTGACCACCCACGGGAACTCGCGCCACAAACGTCTGAGAAATCCGCCGATCCGGCGTGTGAGTTTAAGGGGGAGGGGGTGGCCGGGGTGGCTCTGCCGGGGTATGGGGAGGAGGGGGGGGTCTGGTGGCGTGGGTTCTGGTGGCGTTTGGGGGGGGGGTCCGGTCCCCCGTCCCGCCTGTGGACAAGGGGAATTGAGGAAAAGGGGGTCGTGTGGCCGGGATGGCTCTGCCAGGGTAAGGGGAGGGGGCCCCGGGGGGGGGTGTCCGGTGGCGTGGGTTCTGGTGGCGCGGATGGGAGGGGGGTCCGGTCCCCCGTACCGCCTGTGGACAGGGGGGGGTGGGGGAAGAGGGGGGGGGTCCAGTGGCGTGGGTTCCGATGGCGCGGGGGAGGGGAAGGGGGGGTCCGTGGCGTGTGAATTTGAAGGGGCCTCAGCTACAGCCTCGAGGCTGATCTTCAGCCTCTGGGGGGGTTGCCGGGGTGGCTCTGCCGGGGGAGGAGGGGAGGGGGGGCGCGCGCGCGTGCGCGGGGCAATGTTTGTCCGTGTACGCGAGAACGGGATCGGGGAAAAAAGGAGAGAAATGGAACGGGACAAGAGCGGAAAACGGGGAACAAATGGGGGGGAAGACGAAGTGTCTGTCGTGTGGCGTGCGTGTGTTTGCGCGGTGCGCCCGCCTGTGCCCTCTCCCCACTTAGAGCTGTGCGTAGCCCGCCTAGCTTTTACTGGAAGAGGTTCGCTCTCGCCCCGCAGACCAAAAAAGTGTGTTTGCGCGGTGTGCGTGCTGTGTGTGTGTGTGCGTGTGTATGTGTGTGTGTGTGTGTGTGTTACCGGCGTGTGCGCGTATTGTGTGTGTGTGAATGCGCCTGCGAAGGTGTGTGTGTGTGTGTGTGCGTGTGCGCGTGCGTGTGTGTGTGTGTGTGTGCGTGTGCGCGCAGTGTCTGCGAGCGTGTGCGTGAGTGCCTGTCGGCGAAAATGTCGCCGCCCACTCTGGGGGGCGCCCCGAGCGACCCGGATCGGCGACACTGGCCGAAGGCCACTACAATAAATCAGAACAAGCTGCGCAAGGAGGGGTGGGGCGGGCGCCCCTGCAGGACCGCGCGCGTCAGCGCAAATCCAAGGAAAGGGGGCGCCAGCGAGCCCCATCTCGCAGCGATTGCCCGCGCGGAGAACAATGGCGACGGCGGCGGGCCATCCTGGCCAGCCGAGCCGGCGGGGGAACTTCGAAAATCGCAAGTGCTCTATGGAGGGAACGGCCGCTGTGATATCAAAGAAGGGGGCCGCGCCCCCCTCCTCCCTCGCCGCGGCGAATATCAAGGCCTCGCGTTGATGTCGACGATTTTGCTCGACATCGACCGTCCTCGAATGGGGCCCATCTGCTCTGTCGCGACCGGTGCCCCAAGAACTGGTTCGAACGTCGCCTGGCACGCGCTGGCCATAAGTCCGTCGTCCGTGTTCGCGGCGTTGAGGGGCCCGTCGAGCGCCCTGTCAAATGCCACCGCCATCAGAAAGAATATGAGCGC